CAACCGAGCCCCGGAAAGGGGGGTGAAAAAGAAACGGACAAAAGAACAGAAGGAACGGACGGACAGAAACGCGGAGCAAGGTAAAAATGAAGGGTAGAAATGGACGGTAGCGGAATATTAAGGAAATACTATATAGCTGAAACTTCTCGACGAAGGGTAGGGCCCAAAGAAACGGAAAGAAAAACGAAACTTCGAGCTAGGCTCGCTCGAAGCGGAAAAAATGATTCGGGAGGAGGAAACGAGGGATGAAAAGATAAATTATCGCGGTGTTTGATTATAGTGATTCGTGTTGGATTTGAAACTCCTTTTAATAGTTAATTATCTACTTTTCCGACTAGATGTGCAGTTCTTTCTCGTTATGGTGTAATTTTTTATAGCTTGATATATGTTGGGTGTATTTGTTCAACGTTCAGTGTGTATACATTGGCTGATTTTGTCGTACAGCTTATGAGAGGTTTTTGAAACTAAATTCTACGGTTACCTGGTAAAAAGCGCACCCTGCGTTATAATAAATAAGAAAAGTATATTAATAAGAATGTGAATATAGGAGATCCTAAAGTTACACTTTAATGATTTATGAATAGCGTTGAAAATATATTTATAATACATATAGAATGTTAATTGAATAATACACAATTACTGCATTTACAGAACATCTGAACAAAAGAAAATTACACTGAATTTTTACGAAATTTTTAATCTAAATGAAACTACGATTTCGCGAAGATATTTGCAATGCAAGCGGTTGTGTAATGTAAATGAAAAATTTTCATTTAAAAATTTCGATAAATATTCTTCCGTGTTCGTAGAAAAGCATGCACATAATTGTAAAAATGTAGACATACATCAAGCATGGTAACAATGGAAAGGTAAGGGATCAAAAATATATTCGAATATCGAAGAAAGGGTGGATTATTAAGAGTGATCAAGAAGGGGGTAAAAAAGAGAAAGTGGTGAAAAACGGCGACTAAAAGTACATGCACGATCGAATCTTGGCGGAAGCGGTACGTGATGAACGAGTGAAGTATAAAACAGAGAAACTAGAGGGTTGGAATGCGAGGGATGAGGGTTGATATCCACTTGACTTTGGACTGAGTAACTCGTGGCCAAGAACACAACCTAGACGAAGGCAAAGACCAAGAGTGGGATGAAAACGAACGTGGGGATTCGCGAGACGCAGATATTCGGTCGAAACAAGGGTGCGACGGGGTGGTTTTCCAGAAACTGGAAGAAACTCTCAAAAGTACCGGAGAATTAAGTACGTAGCCCGGTGGAAACTTTAATCGAACGCAGCTGATAATTCCCACGACTCACTTCTTCGATGATTACGAGAGTGACAATGGAAATAACTTTAACGGTCGATTTTACTGAAACGTTCGATTCAACAATCTTTATTTAAGAGATTATGCGAAAGTTTCTAGGATATGAATTTTTGAAAGTAGAGCATCCTTCTTTCATGAACGGCTGCGATAATTTAACCAGGAAATTGTCCTAAATTCGACTAGAGCACGTATTTAATTAATTCCTCGAAAATTTGTATACGCGTATAAAGTTTCGCAGTCTAATTATAAGTTATGTTAGAGTATTTTGAGACGAAATATCTTCTTTTCCGTGCTCATGCTCTAATGTTTTAAGCGCCATTTGATCTGACCGCGAAATTTCTAGTGCTAACCCCGGTGTTTAGTGAAATTATAACGCGTATTGAATAGGTAATGATGCTGAAGAAACTCTAGGAAGTTGCTGAAGGTCGTAAACAGATATTGTTCATGTGAAGCTCCATTGGTCGTAGTTATTTTATGGTGCGGCGATAAAAGTATTGCGAAATAAGTGGTCTGTGTGAAAAGGGACGTGCTCAGCGGAAAGAGAATGCATATTGATATCTTATGGGTAACACTGTACATGTGTACAAGTAAAAAAGAACAGTTAATATCTAACAACATTAATAATATAGATATAAATTATAAAATAACTTTTACTGTAGTTTTTTGAAAACTAAGTTAAATATTCGCTTGATAAATAATAATTGAGTGAATGTTGGGACGGTCGCGATACGAACGGAATATTCATGAATTTTTCCGATTCAAGAAAATAACGAGGAAGAGAATAAAAATTACAACAAGATTGAACGTGGATGAATGAAATTCACGGTTGAATGTCAATTTCAAGTAAAATCGGAAAGACACAGTATATACTGTAACGTTTACAGGACACTTGTAGCGTGACTGAGTGCGCCAGCACTCTTCCTCGATGAAAGCAGTGTCTCTTTCATAAATATTTTTAAACTGTTCACGAGGTTATTGATTTCACAGCGGCGTCATGCAATTTTTCATATCGCCGAGCAACAATGGAACGCTGCGTGATTATTTTGCAACAAAACCGATAGAACGGTACCGTGATCGTTCGATGAAAGCCCCTAAAAGACGAAGTGGCCTTCGAACAGCGGGTCGTCAAATCGAACGGTAACTAATTACCCAAAAGAATCGACGAAATTTCAATGTTTGTTAAACACACAACGATGGTCGTCCCCAAAGTTTCATCATTTAAAATAAAGTCGAACCGTATCATAACCGTTATCCCCAAAGGACACTTGTAACTCTGCAAAAAGTTAAGAACCGTTTCAAAGAATCATCAAGGATCCTCATTGAAAAGATGCAAGAAAAATGATTCGAGAAGTTATTTTCAAAGTCGTTTACATGTTTAAAGTGTAGCAAGTCGTGCAGAAGGCTTTACGAATTAGAGACTCGAACGCAATCGAAGAACTTTATCATTATAAAACGGAATGTTCGTTTTCAAAGATGTTCTTCTTGAAGAATATATGTCTACAGATACAAAATTCAGTATCTGAAAGAATATTTTCCAATGAATCACTAAATACCGCATAAAATCTGTCAAGTTTTGAATACTTTTTGTACAAAAACATGCTAAGGAATCATTAAACGAAAGAATTACATAGCACACGAAAGCTCTCAACGCTTAAGGACACAAATTCAAACGAGTCCTTCAGGAACTCTACACAGAAAGACCATCGATAAACTTCGATCAAGGACGGAAACTGGATAAACCCTGCATTGGAATCGCGCACAACTTTCTCAAGACAACGAAACTTTTAACAGAAGCTTGCATCAGCGACCAGGTTTATCAAGGACACTTCTCAGAAAGATCATCGACAATTCCGACCAAGGACAGAAACTTGACGCATTTCACATCGTGAGCCGTAATGTCTCAAAGATTTCAAAACTTTCATTCGAAGCGTATACCAACAGACAAGTTCCCAAAATCTCTGCTCAGAAGGATCATCAATGAAGTCTGATCAATATCACGAACTAGAAGAGTCCCGCAGCAGAATCACGTAAAGCAACGTTCCAAAGACTGAAACTTTCAATGGAAGCTTACTTATCAACAGTCAGTTCTTCGAAGATTCTACCTACATCATAAATAAACTCCGATGAAATACACGAACTAGAAGAACCTCGCAACAGAAACGCACAGAACAGCCTTCGAAAATCTCTCTGTAGCTTACTCCTCAATCGCCAGGATTTCTTCAAAGGTTACCGAGAAAGATCATCGATAAACCAGTGTCACAACGTGAATACTGTCAGAGAATGCTACAGCTCGACGTTCCGCAGACTAAAGCTCTCAGCAAGTTCATCAACAAACTTTTTCAAGAACTCTACCGTAGATCATCATCGTCTTCCTTCTCATCTTTCATACGACGACGATTCGCTGTTCATCGATACGGTTACGCGGAACCAATCGAAACTATAAACAAAGCACACATTGAAAGACCCCTTTTGCCCCGTACCGTCCCGCTAGACGTTGAGTCATCCCTCTACAGTGCATACTCGCATCGTAACCCAGTACCCTGCAATCTCGGTATCAAGAGCGTCTCCAAGTGCACCAGAAGCATCGAAGGGAATCGCGACCGATGAACGGTTACACTGGAACCGCGTCGGCGGTTGATCCGGCGGCGAGCCGAAACCCGACAACGCGGCCTCGCCGCGGGGCGGAAGCCTAGGAACACCCTGGCGTGCTCTTCGGGTCGGGGGTCGTTTCGAATTTCGCGTCGCGGGGGTGAGCGTCTGCCATCTCGCGCCACCGCGGTTCTCCTCCGAAATCGTCGGTCCGGGTCACGGCGTAAAGAGCGGAGAGGCGCGCGAGTTTGCTCCCCGCGGGCCCTAGTCTCTTCGGGCTTCGGGGGTTCGGTTGCGTGAGCCCGTGTGTCGAGAACTCACGTTTCTCATCTCGCAGCGGAGGGTACGTGCTCACGTGCGGCCGTCCGATCGTCGCACGGTCGTTGCACCGACGAGGGTGCCCGTTCTGCCAGTGTCCGGTGCGTCGGCGACGGTGACGGCGAGGGCGGTATCAGGGTGTACGGGCACGAGCACCAACACCGCGGCGACGTGGAGGATGCTGATCGAACGCGACGCTCGCGGCTGGAAACGAACGACGACGGCGGCGGCGAGGACGACGGCGACGACGACGACGACACGCGAAACACGGAATGGCGAGCACTCGGTGCAATCGCGAAGCACACGCGGCCGACGAGCATCGCCCCAGCTCGGCACCAAGCTCACGACTGCCACTCTAGACCGAGGTCCTAGCTGGGGGTTGCTTCGACGAGAGTTCACCGGTTCAATCGGTGGGCTAGGGGTGGCTTCCGAGGGGAGGGGGATGCGCTGCTGAACCAACCACAGCGCTATCTGCTGGCTCGTCGGAGAACACACGGACGTAGGGAAAGCGCAAGCTCGGTGGTTCATAGCGAGGGTGAGGGTCGGAGCAGGTTTTCTGTTCTACTTCAGAGAGAATGTTTTTTGGTCTGTTTTTGGTGGGAAGGCTTTTTCTGGAACTTTTTACTTCTGCAGGTTTTGTGATTGGATTATTCTTCGGTTCTGCCTGGTGACTTTTTGATTGCGCGGAGATTTATAAATTGGCTTGGATTAGCGGGAGAAAGCGAAAGTAACGAATTACAGAAATGTAGATGTTTTCTGGTCCCCCGGTTCTGTGTTTGGTGTTTAGTGAGTGGTTAGAGCTTGAAGATTGAGTTGGGTGAAATTTCCGGAGATGTTTGAGTTAATATTTGAAGTTGATGGGATGTTTTAGCGATGTTGAATATTTTTAGGAATGTTTGTGCGAAATATTTTGGAATTGGAGAATGTTTCGAGCGATGTTCGAAATGTTGAATGATTGGTTGGATGACGCTTGTTACATAGAAAATGCATCAAGCAATGTTTAAAGTATTCGATGATTTAATATTACGATAAAATATTTGAGTACAACTATTAGAACGTGTTAAAATTCAATGTAAGTTGAAATATGTGCAAACTGAATGGAGTTGACTATTTTACTTTTGGTATACTTGAAAGATTAACTTAATTTAGTAAGTTGTATTTATGATATAAAATATGTATCACTGAGTACATATTAATTATAATGTTGTTTTAACAAGCATTATACTTTAATTGCAGTGGTATCATTTTTTGGTATTAAACTAGGACGTTAATTCTCTTGGGGTGAAGTGTCCTTCAATGATGCGGCTTGATTATAGTCGTATTTCGATTGACGATCTGTATAGGAGAGTAGCAAATTTAAAAGACGAAGTACTAATAATGCAGTATTATATTATATAAATAAATTCAGAATAACCACGTGAAAGTTGATAATGATCTGAAAATAAATATGACTTTCTTTGAAAAGGAATTTGCGTCTGCGACAACATTTATGCACTAATAATAGCAACTGATGCAATAATTGGAATATTCCGTTAAACCTAACAAAAATTTTGTATAATACCCTGTAACTTAGTTAATTTCGAGATTATTACCAATTTCGAGACGACAAATCAAAGAAATATTGTTTATTCGATGAACTTGATCATGCAGCAACCATATCTATCTGCAGTGACGCTTAATTCTGCGTCGTAGTAGGAGCTGTCGATCATGGTCAGACACGCGATGCTAGCGTTAAATCGCTAAATTAAAACTGTGACGCGATACATAATGCGCGATTCACAATTGAAGAAACATGCATGCAAACGTCTTTCCGATCACAAGTGAATAAATCCCCTAAAAAGAAGTAGACTTTTTAAAACGTTGCCTTATTCCCTTTCAAACATTTTTCAAACAATCCCGTGCTCAAAAATCAACGATCTATTGATAACTAGACAGAAAATTTCATACGTTCACAGCACACCAAGCATATCAAACGCAATAAAACGAAAACTCCAGTGAAGATTCAGTAAATCCCTAAAATGCTCAATAAAAACTGCAAGTATCATTGTTCCAATTACTACACAAGCGACGCAGAAAATTCTAAATTTCCCAAGTCTCCTTTAAATCTGGAGTAAGGCTAAATACAATTTCAATTACTATGTAAATAATTTTAATTGCAACGTGCATTCACGAGGGAAAGTGGAAAATCGAAGAAAATGCACACGAGAAAATACACAAAATATCCAAAACGATATCCTTCTTACAATATACATAGAAAACACGGTTTTCTACTATTTCTATTCTAACCACATTCCTAAATATTCGCATTTGCATGAAGATTCGCAGTCTAGTAATCAGTATCTCATTCCGCCCGAGTATGCCATCCTAAAGTACCGTCATAGTCCCAACAACGCTCTTCAAACCTGCCTTGCCCCGTTCCAACTGTTCCAGGTTTTGGAAGATAAATCAAGCCAGCGGTCCGCGTTGTGTCATTCCTGAAATATTCCGAATTACACGGGCATCGGGAGTGGCAGCCAGGAATTGCTACTCGGGTTCAATTAAGCCTCTACAGGCATGCACATACGAATTCCTCGAGTTCGCGGTTTCTGACGTAAGCGGCCGACCTTGAGCCAGTTCAGGCAGGATATCGGGCGCGCATGGCCGGCTCCGCGGTTTCCTCGAGGAAGCTTCGCTCTTATCGCATCGATCGCCAAGTTATAGGGAATCGTCGGTAGCAACAGCGGCGGTGGTTCGTTTAAACTGAATGATCACCGGTCGAAACTGTCGGGCAGAACCCAACCCCCTAAAGCGTTATCGGAGACGAACACCTACCTGGCTGGTGTTTGCACCCTCGTGCTGGTGCTGGATCAACAGGTTCGCGTGCCGGATCTGCCGGCGCACCGGAAGTCATCAACGGGTGCCACGCGGCGCGGTTTCCACCTCGAGAACAATCTGATCATCCCTTCCCATTCGAGATAAGCGGTCGTAAAAGGTTACGCTCTGACGGCCAGGGATAACCATCAAGGACTGACCGAGGGATCTTAAGGAATGATCCGATGGAGAAGAAATGTCGGAGGCGGATTCTTGGTATGACTGAAAATGATGGAAAGTTAGGTGAATATGTATTTCAAGGGTGAGAAGAAGAAGAAGAAGCCTAGAAAGGACTTACTTAAGTTGTTGAGCTTGTTGAACCTTCTGTATTCAATTGAAGGAGGCATGGTTTTCTTGTGAGTTTTATACATGGAACTCGTTTGGATTGATTTTGCAAAGGTGATGGTAGGTGGAGGAATGATTGTAACCTATAATCGTGGAGGGTGAAGGTTAGAAGAGTTTCGTGGGAGTATTCAACGGTGCTGGTGATTCTGAGGTGATGATGATGTAACACTGAAATTTAAGCTAATTTCGTATGTGTATATAATTAAAATGTGAAGATGGTTTTAAGATACTGTGATTTATAGAGCGACTTATGATTAACTCTACACTATTATTTCTGAAGATATACAAATTTAACAGATACGTAAGAATTAAAGTATAAAAAGATGGACGAAAATAAATTACGCTAGGACCAGAGGGATCATTACCCAGGAAAACTCCGTGTAAAATTGTAGGCCATCTATTGTCACCTTTATCGACTCGTATTACACACAATTTGCACGAATTTCAATAAGGAATTGACGTGTACACGAACAGATACAGCTACTTAGAACGATAGGGGATGGGGGATTGGGGGATTGGGGGATCGGTAAGAGGTAAGTACAAAATTGCCTAAGCTAATCGCGTCGGAGGCATCCAAACCCAGCGACGCGAAAAACGGTCGTCGATTGGGCAGCCCCGTCGGGTCTGGATCCTACCCGTTAATTTATTCCGTGGGCTTCCATTCCTCCTATTCACGAATGCATGCAGGTCCTTGTAAAAATATATCAACGCACGCTCGACGCTGGGTCCAATGTATACCTAGCTTCGATATCGGAACGAGTATTCGATTTCGTGTTTCTCCTGTTTTCTTCCGCCTTTCTTTCTTCCTTTCTTTCCATTTTATCATTGCCAAATACGCGTGTACGTGTTTGCGTGTATATGTGTGTGTGTATGCTAGCGTGTGTATATGCTCGATTTCGGTTTTTTCCATTTCAATTCCAAAGCCGAAACGAGAAATTTCCAATACATATATCACAGAACGGAATTTCTCCGCGCCGCGCGTCTCTCGTCGCGCGGCTAGAAAAATGACTCACGGAATGGACGAATGCGTGTACAGTCGCTCGAACAATTTTCTTTTATCCTTTGTCTTATCTTTTTCTTCTTTTTTCTTTTCCTCTTTCTTTTATTTCTTTTTAGTTTCTTTGTCTCCGCGATCGAAGAGAACGAAGAAGCTTCATAATTGACAAATTTTCGAATCCGGTTTGTTTCGGCTGATCGATCGACCGAACGATCGCGTCCTCGAAGCCGCGCTACGGAACTAAACTTATGTACAAAAATCACAATGATCCTCCCGTGGACGCGTGCTTGCCGTGAAACCGTTCCAATGTTCTTTTCCTGTTTGTTTTCAATCTCGTCGGATTCGCAAGGTACCAATATTTATATATACTCAAATATGTGTGTATATATATGTATAAACGTACGTGATTATGCCACGAAGCTAAAGCTAAAACAGCTATCTTACCGTCGCTTATCGTTTTGTTCATTCGTGCGCCAATGATAACGAGGCCCTATGACTCACACTAAACACATATCTAAAACGCTAAATTAGTCCGCGACGATCGCCATACAATAATAATAATAATAAACAGCGTCCAACTAACCGAATGGGATACCGTGTGTGGGCGGGGTAACGTTGCGTCGACGCGAGCGTGTGCGACCGGTGAGTAGTAAGACAAGGACGAAAAGAGAGACAAAAAGAAAGAAAAACATTCAACAGAGAAATCGATCAGCGCGCGTTATCGCTAACGGAAAACAGAGAAAGAAAAGAAAAAAAAAGAAAAGAGAAACTGTCCGTAGTTGTCATGGTTGGTTGAAAACGAAACACGTCAGTGGCAAACGGCACCAGTCGTAAAAACGCTATTCGAGATTCTTCTTGTGTGTCTTCCACGATCACTTCGGCCTATTGTATCCTCTGTTTTCTATCCGGCAGCCACTGTTATTCGCCACTACCGTTTGTGACTGCCGGTCTTGCTTTTAGGACTGTCCGTGGCGACGTCGTTAGGCTCCCTTCTAGGCCGTAAGATGAAGTTCAGGTTGTGCGCAGTGTTCACGGCGTAGTAAACGTTCGCGGAGTTCGGCAAGACCATCTCCCTGTCGGGCAGTACCTGGGCCAACGTGTACTGGTCTGGACTACCCTCTATCCCGAGTTTGAGCATCGCATTGCGTATCACTTGCGGCGTTCTCTCGTTGTTCGACAGCATGATGGACTTGTACAGCACCACGCCATCGGTTTCCACGTTGTCGCTTTCCATGGTCACCTTGATTATGTAGAAATCCGGCGAGCTTTTGTGCGAGTGACTCGGGCTGGACAGGCCGACCAGATTCGGTGTGGTCCCGTTCGCGGTAATTACCGGCGCTAGACGGTTGTGCTGGTTCCCGGCGGTCGCCCCGCTACCGCCACCCGAGCTCAACGACACGTCCAAGGACGGTAGCGACGAGCTCGACGACGAACTGGACATCTGGGACGGCGAGGTGCGTCGGTCGAGAGAGTTGTGCGGCGAGCTGGGCAGCGAATCCAGGTCGCAATAAAACTGCGAACTGCTTGAACTGGACGTGGACGCTATCGAGTCGTTCTTGCGGTGTCCCTGGTGAGCCTGCAAGACGAGTTTCTTAGTTAAACAGGGAACTAGTCACGGAGAAGTGGGTTAGATCTGGATTTAGACAGGACTCGACGATTTTGATGACCCTGAAACGATGGTCGATACATTGAGCAATGCTATCAGCGATTTTCGTTGTGTTATTCTTTTCGAAGGACGAATATGAATGTGTTTTAAACGTAAAAGTGTATTATTTGGTTTCAAGGCGTTTCACTGTTCGTAGAAACAATATTGTTATTCGTGAGTCATACGCTGTAAGGTCAACTTTCGAAATTACTTGATGTTTGATTATTTTCTTTATCTAGTGATAATTATTTAAATATCGGAGTCTACAAATATTTTGAATATTCGCACCACATGTTTATTGCGGCAATCGTGACCAGTCTGATTTCTTCGTGGAAATGTTTGATATTTTCAAACAATAATACATGTTACAGTTGTGTGCCATACAAACAATTACGATGAATAATATTGAAAAAACAAGTGTGTTGTAGGTCATCTGGTGGTCAAGTATTGTATACGATTAAATTTATCTTTTTGTGAACCTAATCATTACAATACTGAAAATGTGTCATACTCTTTAATTTATGAATAACAATATTCTATTCGGTTTTAGTTGAGTCATCCTGAGCGTATGCAAAATTGTTTAATGCATTGATCTTGACAACATGATAAGGGTCATCGCAATTGACGAGGAATACCCTATGCTACGGGCATAAATTGCGGAAGAGGGCTGACCTGTTTCTTCTTTCCGCGATTGTTTAAAGTGTTCCCAGGTGGAGGAGGTTCTATCTGACAACTAAGCTTGTACGCCTCTCGATCATCCAGCACCACCACTGAATGGAACCAACGATCGAACAAAACGTCTGTTCTGAAGTTATACGCATTCGCTGCGCCCTGAAGCAATCTTATCCTGGCCAACACCTCGAACTCCTTCCGTCTCTTATCGAAGTTGATCAGACCCTCAGCTATCGTGTCCGATATCGCGGTGTCTATCATCGTGAGATCCGTTAAGAAGGTTCCCAGGTACGGTATCGTTCCATAGCTGATATTCTAAACAGCAGAAAAAAGGTTTCTTTGTAAATTTCTGATTGACACAAATAGATACAATCATAGCATAGATTCTGACAGAGAAAAAAAAATAAACGGACTTGCTGGATGGTTGTATAAGAGCGTAAAATTATAATACACCTGATAGCTACTATTCAACACTTGGCATAAATATGCATACGAAAGTGTACATTTGCATAAACTTGCGCCGAGTAAACATAGTCAACATGCTAAGTGCCGCACTAAATTATTATACGCTCGCAAGATACATCTTACAATATTCCTAACATTTTAAAAATACTTATTAGCGACACAAAAGGACAATACATAATACATCCTATCAAACGCACATTTTCATTTAGAGACCGTATAATGAAAGAAACATTCACTGTACCATCTAGCAAATGATCAAAATAACAGAAAGTCCTAACAGGTTAACCAATAACTTGACACTCAACATCTTCAGTCAACATCACCCGTCATTAGGCAACAAAAGTATCAAATGTCCACTCACACCAGCATGAGTGTTCTGTTTCTGGAACAGTTTCTGCAAGTGTCTGTCGCTCCTGCCGGCAGTGTCGGCGAACTTGGCAGTGCCCTCCTTGATCAGAAGCTCCCTTTGCGTCCACGCGTTGTTCTCCTCCGAGAAGATCCTCTCCAGCTCCCTGAACAGCTCGTGCTTCTCGCGCGGCATGCACTGCCAGCACTTCTCTAGCCTATACACCGGGTTGCTCTGCAGACCGGACACGATCGCCTTCAGGCTGCTGAAGTTCTTCAACACACGTAGTTCCTGGGCGATGTCGATCCAGGTCTCGAGAATCCTGGCGCGCTCCTGCGGTTTCATCGTCGACTCCGCCAGGATCGTGGAGATGACACGGAGCGACACCGCGTTGAACTGGTTCACGGTCGCTAGCACGGTAGCCGCGTCATGGCTCCTCGAACGGTCCCTTCTCGACCAAACAGCGCCCAAGCACTGGTGCGCCACCAGCTTTTTGAACACCTCCGCGTCCATGCGGGTCAACTGCTCGGCGAAATGACGGTGCGGCACCTCCGGGAAGCTGTAGCTCGCCCAGTGGTCCATGATTGGCTCCGGGGAGCCGCGCGGCAGGCGACCGTTATCGTACACCATGCAGGAATCTGAAAAGTGGACGTATAATCAGTGACAGATCTAATGCTGAAGGGTTGGAGAAATAGAAAATGGTACTTCGGAATCTCGGCTCAATCGATCGAAGTATCTTTTTTGTTGTTACTGATACGATGATCGTAGTTTGAGATAGTTGAATGGTTTCGAAACAGGAGCACCATGAATAGTTTTTATTCAAGTTTGAAGATAAAGAATTCCAAAATCAAAGTATTTTGTTATTGAATAATAATGAACGTGTGAATCTATAGGGTAACAATTTCTGCAATCGTATTTATTATTCTTAGAACGTATACGTATCTCTATACGCTCATCGATTTTTCTTGTTATTATACGTAAAGAAGTATATACATACTTAAGTACTATTATACGTGTACGTTCTTCAAGCGAGTCATCGATAAATGAATCAGAGTGATGATTCGCAGCTTTTATCGGGAAGAACACGAAATTGTGATACGAAGCTCGGTCGCGTTGCTGTGACACATGAAATTCTTCAAATTTGTGTGCTTGACTTTTCAGTTGTGACTATTTTCAGACTGTATAGTAATAAATGTTAGGAATTGGAAATGATACCCATCTCGCAGATAAAATAAATTATAATAAATCAATGAAAATGAAAACAACGGAAAAATTTTACGAAAAAGTTATCCCTCATTACGTCCCTAGAAACTGTACCACAAAGACGTGTTACTTCGTGCATTAAAGTTTTTGAATAAAACTAGCTTGTCATTCACAAATGAACCAATAACAAATAAAATGGGTAACCCATACTCGTATCTCTTCTCTATTACAGTTTCCGAATCGCGTACAGTAGAACCCCGTGAAACGCGAATAAAAAATTCCCTGTTCTAAGCGATTTCACATTTACGAACCTCGCTTTAACCCTTTGCGTGCTATGAGCGCATATATACGTTTGTCGATCTTTTTATCCCAAGTGGTGATAAGTATAAACATATAAGAATAATATACGCGTTTCTCAGTGTTATTAAACTTGGCGAAACTGAGGAATTAAGATTACAATTTAATTACAATTTAATTCATTGTATAAATTAACACAATTTAACGATCTTCAGATAAGCAACAAAATACTCCGCCCACACGGACTGTTTCGGCTAAAGTATTCAGCACTTAAAGGGTTAAATTCGGTTTCTTGATACTGGTCCAACTTCTGTCTCTGTTTATATTACTGTCTTACTAAAAGTCCCGCTTTTATAGTTACTTTTCAATAATCTTTAATCACGTTGTTCAGAGTTCTACTGCACAAGCCACCCCACAGAAAAAACGTCGACCCCTTTACCTATTTCATCCTCACGCTGGAACCTGTGCAACCGATGCCTCGCCTTGAGCTCGAGCTCCGAGCCGGGCAGCCGTCGATGCGTGAACTCCAAAAGTCTGGTGAGCAGCGGATGGTTAGGCGGCGATTTCCAGTCGCCAGGATACGCGTCCAGCCATACGTGAAGCGCCTGCACGAGGGTCTTGCGGTGCTGTTCACCTGTCAGGGCGGCGGATCCCTCGTCGAGCGCGTCGTACCGCGCCAACAACAGCTCGAGGACCTCTCGTGGCGTCGTGAACGCACGATACGTCGCCAAGAAGACATTGATGTACGTGGACTCGAGCTCCCCGTCGTCGTTCGCCAGACTCTCGACCAGACGCTGTACGGTCCCCGCTTTCAGGAAACGCACCCTCACCGTCTCCCATTCTAGATGCGAGATCTCGTCGTCCGAATCCTGAGACGCGAGCATCACGAGTGGTTAAGGCATGGTGAAATGGGCAACAAACCGCAAATTCTTATTTTATATCGCGCAAACGCTAATACGGTTATTTAAAACAATGTAGATTTATTCGAAACGAGACGAGGAAGGTATTGGATGTTCAATTTAGGTTTTTTAGGTTTGTAATTAAGGTTTTTCAATTTTGAAAGTGTTCACCTTGACCGAATGCATCTCTCGAAACCGAGATCGCTCAAGTTCGACTAACTGCAGTTGCTTAGAAGGTTGATGGGCACGTTTATTACAATATTTGGAATTTTTTTATTATCTTTTGGGAATAGAAATGTTGACGTGAATCATTTTGTGTAATTCTTATTACCTTGGAACGTGTGTTTGAGGATGGTGCAGCTTCTTAGAGACTATGCCGATTTTTTGTGTCAATGTATAACCGTATTTTCAATTCTTAGTATGTTTCATATGTGTATTTGGAAATATGTTAAAATAGTAATACAGAATTTACGTTTTATAAAAGTCACTGTCTTATTTTCTGATTCGTACAGATAAATGCAAAACGGATAAATACGCTATTTCTTCTAACTTTCATGGTGTTGAGTATCAGTTCGATATTTTCTTGCTAAGAAATGTATTGGAGAGTGATATGTTTGTTTAACGTAGGCTTGTCGATGCACCAAGGCTACGCCGCGCAGGCAAGACGGTCACTTTGTTGAACGAGATATCTCGGTTTTCTTTATTTAACTGGGTTAGGTTTGAATTAGCGTCTACGCAAATAGTTCGACACGAGCTGAACCTTACGGCTAGATTAGATAGGTTCGCGTTAAATGCTTTTCAGTTCAGGCTGCGTTTACGTAAATGACGCGAGTAAACGTAAGTCGCGAAAAAAAGAAAAAAAAAGCAAAAAGTTTCCAACGGTATTGATACTTATGAATCAACCTGTATATAGAATTTAGCGATTTATGAGCATTTCATACACAGATACATAATTCCTTGAGGCTACACTACGGTTTATCTATTGGGTTAGGCGATTATGGGAATTCTTGGTAAATAGGTCTTATGAATCACACTGCACATAGAATTTCAATGTTACGAAATGAATAGTTCTCCTTCGATCGATGTTTTCGTTTCATCGCTCTATGCCTATAAAACTTCATAATTAAAACAAGGAAACTGCACACATTTTTTTATTTACTTCTAATCAACTTTGCACATTGCGTATCGACGTTACACAAGGCTCTTATTATTTATGTAACGTTATGGAGAAAATTATTGTTGCACGAAAATTATTACTCTTGAGACTTTCTCGTTTCTTTTTAATTATTCTACGCCTGAGAAACTTCACAATCGAAAACTGAATGGTAATTGGGCGCAAATGATTGCTTACGCCGAACGTACAATGATGCCAAACGAACAAATTGAACTCACCGATGCGGAGAGGCTCCTGGTGGGCCTGTGGTACCGGACCTTCTTCAGGTACACCGTGTATATGACGCCATCGCCCCTTTCTTCGCCCCATAAGCGCCACGTGGGCTACAACGTAACAGAAAAATGACAAAAATCAACGACGAGCAACATCAAAAGTGGTGATTACTGCGTTCTATACGTTTTTTAACGTCACTACGTTTCTCTAAAATAACAGTTCCCAAAGCTCTGTAGTCCAAAGCTGATTTTCGAAAAGAATAATTTTTCGTCAAACTCGTAAGCTTCAACATGCACATCAACTTAACGATTAGTAAAACATTCAATGACTATATAAACTTCCTAAATTTATAAATCTAATACTTTCAAATTTTTTTCATCTTCTGGTATAAACCCTTCTCAAGTATCATTCTATTAATCCTTATTCATCCAATCCAAGAGTCATTCTATTAATCCTTAGCAGTCCTACGTCGAGTCAAACACGACATTCGATTTTATTGCGACGTCTACTTATTTTAACAATTTTTTTCTATATTTATTTGTAATATCACAATTGTACCATTTAAAAGTACCATTTCAGTGATTCTCAAGTATTCCTGAATAAATAATCAGAGCATCAGAGAAGTCAAGAGCACTTCTGCGACCACAACTGCAAAGGGTTAAGGATATCTTCAAAATAATCGAGGAAACTCTAACGGAATATCCTCACGAATCGCTAGTGTACCTGTATATAGCAGCTTTTCGACGATGTTTCACAGATATACAGATAAATCGGGGATCAATGCGGGGTTAAGGAGCAACGAAAGCGACGCGCGCGCACCAGGAGGATGATTTACGCCGCTAATTTCACGGGTTATCCCCTACCACGGGCGGCCGTCTCTTTAATAGGGGACGAAGCTAATCAATGGACGCCGTGCACTCGGCAGATTTATTGAAATAATTGACTCCCCGCTCGAAATTGACCTCGGCCGTCCATTTCACGGCTTGAATCGCGATTAGCCGGATGGGACGCTTTATCTTCCCGCTACGGCCTCCTAGAAACTTCGCTCGGCCAACCGTGTGGATGGTTCTCCGATCGTTGCACGTCTATCTTCAATTTACAATGTTATTGAACCTTTGCGGACGAAAATTTTTCAAACTGGTAAAAACTCTCGCCACGAAAAAAAGAATTGTATGGTAACTATTCTGGTCAGAATTATTGCAATACTGTTATGTCTGATAATTTTAAAGTGACAAAATTAATTATTTAAATGATTAACACGTTCAGTGCTGTGGGGGTCACCGGTGACCAACAAAATTGAATTACTATAGTTCACTCCATGAAACGACGATTACTTAGAAACATTTCTATATTACAAATAATGTTACACAATTTCGTGACGTTCAACTAGAAGAACGTGCAATAATAATAATGAAATTCAATCAAATGATTTAATAACATATTTTTTTCCATTTTGTATATTTTGCTTTATAAAGTCGTGCGGCATTCAACGTGTTAATAAAAATTACGTTTAACAATTCATTCCGTTCTCTAAGAATAGTAGTCGCTATGCATTTGCGTAGTATATTGTATAGTGCACGAAACGTTCGCTGAAACTTATATTTTTCATCAACAGTTTCCGACTTTTTCTTCCTGATTATACAATCTACTCTCAAGTGAATACATTTCACAACAAATAAACACGACGCCGGGGTTGTAGTCCTACCCCAGGTCGCTTCCGGTGACCGACGTTATCATTCCGTAACGATAAATATTCCTACGGGATCAGCGGAGGAGATTCTTATCCGGCCGGTGTTATTTTCTACTCGGCGCACGCTCCATATATTCGTGCCCGATGTTTCAGTCCCTTAATTGACGTTTATGGAACTTTAATCACGGCACCATGACTGACCGCGATCCGCTGAGCGAGCTTCCTGACACGCTCACGCTCGAGACCCGTAGAACACTTAATCAAGTTTTATGAAGGTTGAAAAAAACGATCGGTATCGTTAAAACATCTTGACGGGGTCAGTGTTTTTAAAAATCTTACACGATTAACTGTATTTAGAGTACAATAATCTTGGAAATTTTATTTGTTTCTGTAATCAAAGTTTCTCGAAACGTATGAGCCTTCCGTTCTTTCAGCGAAAGAGATATTTCTTAGAGATTTGGAGACGTTGTAATCTTTTTGTAAAAAGTTTTGAAGAACATTTGTTGGTAATCACTCTACAAATACTGCTAATGTGAGTATACGTTAATCGTCATTAATGTTTGAGGTGATCCCATTATGAACAGGTTTCCTTGCGGCGGTTGAATACAAAAGCAAGTGATTCTCAGGCATTAAAGACAGTAAACCTAAGAGAGATATCACTTTGAAACTTTACAGATTTGTTACTCTGTATTTCGAGCAATACGCGAGTATTTGCGTCTTGAGAAAGAAACAGCAAAACACGCTACTCAACCTTCTATTTTATCTTTATATCAAAATAAGGAAAAAGCAAGAATACCGTTATTCAAGGATCTTTATACATCGTTTAACAGGCGAGACATTTACCAAACCACTTGCACTAACGCTAAATTAATAAATAAACGATGTCCCAGCATCTGAGCGAATCAAAACGAGTCTGAGTTAGACGACGGTTAAAATTAGACAGCGACGAGTGCGCCAATTATGTCTTCAAAAATCAGCCCATGGGAATAAATTCGGTGGACCTTCAAAGGAGCAGGGAACCACTAAAAATAGTGTTCTCGGGCAACCAAGCTCTCACCGCCGGCTCACCGGTTTTATTTTCATCGCTAAAAACATCACGGTGAACGTATCCCGCCCTTGTCGCAACGGTTCACTTACCTGGACCGTTTACCACCTAAGTGAATCATAATGTCCAGTGAGACGCTCCAGCGCGATCTTCTATTCCGTTCAAAAATCGCCGTGAAACGGGATCAAGATAAAAACTGCTACGAAGAAACGTGTGTCGCGTAATCGTCGTTCTATTGTCCACGGTATGTGCAAGGTTTACCGAGTGCAACGATAGCAACAGCTGCAGCGCATCCACGATCGATGCGATCTTTTGTGCGGCGGGTAATCGTCGCTGCGGCTCCGATTCCTTTCGCCAAGGATTCTTTGCGTTTTCACAACTTGCATTTTCAGAAATTTTCAATTTTCCCACGTTTCTACTCTCAAGCTGCAACCTACATTTTCAAAAATTTTCAATTTTTTCACGTTTCTATTCGCAAATTACAACGCACATTTTGAGAAATTTGAGTAGAAGAGTTGCTCGATTAGAACATTGATAAGGATCGCTGAAAAGCTACAGTCTATTCGGTGAAATCATGATTTGGAACAATTTCCTTTTGCGTCAGTTCGTGAAATGTTTATTTTGCATGAAGATCCGCTGACCGTTTATAAGGATCGCAACAGAAACCTGAAACAACGCTCCGCCAACGAAGCTAGCCGCGTTTTTCGACGATGACGACCAGAAGTCTAGACTCCGCGAACTCCGCGGAAAAAGGCGGCTTATGCTCCGGAACGAACCAGCAATTAGAGGCCTTTGCAGAAGGAACCCGAGCGTGACTTAAGGTCCTCGTACCCCCTCGTCCTTGGAGACTCGGCTCCACGAAACACGTCAACTTTCCATTGTTCCACGGAGACCTGCTCTCCGGGTGAATAACAATCCCTGTGCTCGCGATAGATCCGATTGGCCAATGCGAGGACGCTATTCATGGCGATCGGATCCGTGGAAAATGCAAATGCGTATTCTCTTTGGCAGACGAACTTTTTGTTCAGCACTGGAGGTTCTGAACTTTACTGCCTATGGTGTACTTCGGCACAGAACAATTGTGTAGTAATAGTTTTATTCGTTTCACAAGATTTTTACGAGCATTCCATGAGTAGAATGGTCTTTGCCAAATAAGACAAGATTCTGCAAGTCTATCGCGAAACATTCTCTGAGCAAACTTTTTGTTTAGCACTGAAAGTTATGAAATTTACCTGCGGTGTGCCTCAGCGCAGAAAAATCGTGGAAAAGGAGTTTTATTCGTTTTCCAAGATTCTTGTAAGCATTCTATGGATACAATAATCCTTATCAAACAAGTAGGGACTATAGTTCATGGCGAAACATTCTCGTGAATAAACATTTTATTTAGCATTGAAAATTATGAACTTTAATGCCTATGGCTGTTCCTCCGCGAAAAATGCAGAAGTAATAGTTTTATTCGTTCCCAAGGCTCTTACAAGCATTTTACGAATAGAATGATCTTGGCCAAATATATTGGAACTTTGCAAGTATATCGCAAAGCTAGAGAAAGTGTCTTTTACTAGGTCAAAGTACATGCAAAGAATGAAGGTGTATCGATCTATGATGACACAGATAAATGGGATGTCTGTGCGACAGTAATCAACCCTTTGGCTGTGTACACATGTAACCAAACAGGCTGATCATATGTCCGTCTAAAAGTGTATGAATTATTAGCGTTCACTTTGTTGCAGTTTCTTTAAAAATTTTAAAGGTCAATATTTTCCTATTTCATTTATAATGGAAGACTTGCAGTACGTTCGAGTGTATATACAGATCAAAATGAAACGAACAATGTTATCGATTAATTAAGAGACATTTTATCAATTTTATTAAATTCATAAATTCAGGATAAAATTTCTGTTCAACTTTCATTTCAGTTAACATAAAAGCCCAATGCCAGCTGGGTTCACGAAATTCGACGATTTCAGAACGTCTGATTGAAACTCAAGGGCTTGGAACACATAACAAATGCAAACGGCATGAATATGTCCTCAGCATGGTGGATGGTTTGATTGTAATAATTGTAATTTCCTCTTCTAAGCGAAGCAAGGAATGCTTCAAGGAAACCCATTTACGTAAAGAAGGTCAATAGTAACTATACTCCCTAGCATACAACCAATCGTTGTACGCGGAGAGTTGCACAGGAATCGAACAAATACCAGGAACGTGGACGACGAGTTATTCGATATTCGTTCGTGGAAATCAAGTGGATTATACATTCGGAGGACGGAGCAAAGTTCCCATTGAAGATATTGATGGAAAATACGAGGACGTCCGGCCAGGAAATCGGGAAGAGGAACAATTCAATTAACACCAATCCGGGGTGAAACAGGTCT